GGTTAGCCTGGGTTGTTTGTAAATTGTACAAAAAAACATTGTTTGGGCTTAGGCCTAAAAATGTGAAGACCGACTAATACCCACCCTCACAACTAAAAGAAGAATTACTTCCAGGTACACGTTGAAATCCTCCCTGTTACAAAACAGAGGGAGAATGTGAATGTGAGCACCGTATTTGAATAGAAATAAACAACTCCTGGTCTCGGCTCTGGTCTGGTTTTTGTTAACAGCGCCCTCTTCTTTTGTATTTACACCGGCTGCCAGGTTCGTGGCCGGCTAGGACCGAAGTACAGTGTGTGGACGCGAGCGAGTCGCCCGTTTTAATTTCCACTTGACCACCATTAATTGTACATGTACATTGTCATGATTCCTCAGTCAGATTTAACCCGTAAAGGCGTCAGCCATCAGCAAATAGAGGTTGCGGCGTTACTGCATTCTCGGGGGAATGTTGTAACAAAATTAAAAACAGCCTCGAAGACACCATGGAGGCGCCAGCCTGAGGGTTAGTGGCCTAGCTGAGCAACGCATAATCACTCATACATGTCAGGCTACATACTCGATCCTCGCTTGAGAATCCCAAACTGTTTTGAACATTAAAAAAATATTAGTACCGCTTTACGATGGTACTTTTTGCTAACCAATACACAGATTTGTTTAGGGGGTACCTGCAAGCTCCTGGAGCGTCACGTGTCCTCTAGTCCACATCCTTTCAAAGCTACCCCAAGCCTACAAGCAAACTAAATTCTTCGATGCCGATTTTTCCCACTTCTCTCCGGACTTTCTGTTTCACTGGAACTTTCTTGTCGTAGATGACAGCAGCGGAACGCTTTTTATATATATATATTTATATTGTGAGGCCTTCAAAGATTTTTGAATGGACTCAACACAATACATGTACTTGGACGGATTATGTAACTGTGTAGACGGTGCGAGTGGAAAAGAGCGCCACTATATTTCCACCTGTGTTGTGCGGTTGATTGAAACTATAGTATTGGTCCAGCGATGCAAAGCTGGAGACTATATTTCCAAACTTTTTCAGTGAAGCAGGACAGTGCTAACTAAAGTTGTTAGTCCGATGGTAAGAGCCCTTCCCGTAAGGCGAACGTACGGTTACTCAGGCTGGAGGGCACTAGGTGAAGTATCTGCCATTCGAGATGAAAGACCCCACTTTTTAGTTCCAAAAACAAACACAAAAAGCCCTCGACACAAAATGAAAATGCATTTAGTTGTCAATTCGGAGTTTGTCGCTTCTTTTGGGGGGGGGGTACGTGTTCATTGACTGTTAATACATTCGACATCAGTTAATTGCTATCCAAAGAAGGATGTAGAGCAAATATAACCGAATTTGGATCACTTTAACTGATAGAACATAATATTGCTTAACTCTGCGCGTTTCAATGTACGTTTTTGGTGCAGATACAACTGAGATGTTCCTTCAATATTCTATCGTGTCTAATATTATGGGGCCAGTGACATGACTTTGACCTGGGTAAATGTTTCATGCAATTTGCTACTATTCTTGAATGCATTTGGACATCCCTTTCTGAGAGATAACATTGCTCACTGGCTTCTGCCAGCTAGACACTGACAAAAATGCTCAACTTAAAACAGCAAATTATGCAACATTCTACCAAAATGTGGTGCTGAAATAGTGGCTATATTGAGATTCCATCCCGAAATGGCACCGTTATCCATGATATGCAATTTTTCATCGGGATAAATGCCCTCTAAAATAACCAAACGACACTGAAAAAATGGTCGAATGAGACACGGCCTACGGCCTGCGTACGGCCTTTTCGATTTCTTTTTTTATTAATTCTTGCTTGTGATTTTTTGTGTTATTTTTGTGTTTGAAATATCTGACACTGTATCAACACTTAATTCTATTTCGTCATATTGATATATTTCCTGTTTAATAGTGCAGTTTTACTACATGTATTTCATAATTAGTTTCTTTTTTCATTTGTTAATTTCAAGAGCGTCTTGCAATACAAATTTATATCAGAATATAAGAGTTACTATGATATGAATACGTCATCAGGAAAACAATGTAATACTTACGAAAGTAAAAAGTTTATCATGACCATGTGATGGTAACAACACAACGGTTTTGGGGGTTTTTGTTTTGTTTTTTGGGTTTTGGGGGGTTTTCTTTTTTGGTTTTGATTGTTTGGTTGGTTGGTTTTTTTGTAATGTAGGGGCAAAGTAAGAAAAAACAGTGCTCACCGGTTTGCTAAGGTGCTACGCAGTTTTGTCTTACCTTGTTCATTACAGGGTTTTTTTGTTTTTTATTTTTTGTGTTTTACATTGCACAATTCAAGAAACCTTGCTGGGTGGTTAAAATTCTTACTTTGTTCTGTTCTGAATGATTTCATTTACCGTGATATTAACATAAACGTTCGTTGCCAGTCGAGCAAACCAATCAGAATATTAGTAAGTGCGTTGTTCATCGATGACGTCATTGACAACCAATCACCTAATTGCAAGGCTTAGCCATGCAAATTTTGATGCGCAGCCCAATTTTGTTCGGCTGCAAAAATTTCAGGCTTCAAAGAAGGTCACGAACTCTGACCTTTTAATTCCCATTTCTGCCGTTGTTTTTGTAAAATTTCACCTCCAAAAGGTAAGTTTTCTTGATGTTTTGAATAAATATGATGTCTTTACTCAATAATCTTTCATTTAATGAAAGATCTAATCAGAAATGTGTCCGTAAAGGTGAGAATTCTGGTGGGTTCTGTAAGGCATATGTCTTGGCGTCGTTTCAGCGTGCTTGCGATGTAAGCGTGTTCGCAGTGATTGTTCGCTTGCATACTGCCTAGTTGAGAGTCTTGCTTTTTTGCGCCCGTACCTGTCATTTTGTCTCCCAAAGTTTTTCGAATCGGAATCACTTCTTCACCGTGAAACTACCATTGAACTTGTTGCCAAAATATTATCTTATTATTCCACAAAACTATGGATGATTTTGATGGTGCAAAAACGTGTCCAGACGATTTGTTGTTGTTGCATGTCCTTTTCCATTTTAACTTTGACATGTTGACCTTTGTGCGCGAAGCGGCACGCTTTGTGCACCAAAATGACCCCTCGTTTAGCAGAGATGGGAGCATCCGAGACCCTGCATTTACTGCCGGCCACCCCCTCATGTTTTGCCCTGTGTCTATCTGCTTCCGCTGGGTCATAACTTGGATATTCGGGGCTGGTTTCTGATGCCAAAACTGGCAAGATATCGAATCAGGCTAGTCATGCTAGCGTATGGTCTCCACACATGGAAGGGTTGTTGCTGTCCGCGGGAAAAAGGGTGCGGTTCCAGGCCCATGTTACAGCAGAATCTGATATTTCGCGCTCGTTAAGACAACGCGTTTTGAGGCTTAGAATAGAATCCCTTCATGCCCTTGTGGAAAGAAAAATCAATGTTTGTACCATAGGCCTACTTGTGTGACTTGTTCTTGTCTGTTGAGTTTATTTTAGGGCCTACACGTAGGCCTAGGCCTACTGAATTTTGTACATGTATCTCATTTTTCAGTTATTTCTACTACTAGGGCTGCTAGTAGTAGTACTACGATTTATCGTGCAAAACACCCCATAAAATAAATTACTGTTTCAGATATGCTTTTTCTGTTGAACTCAGTGAGAGGAGATTTGTTGTCGTTTTGGTTTTTTTTCCAAGAATGTTTTCAGGGACAGACCATCTGTTTCCATGCTATGCCTCTATTGCAATAGCAAAGTCATAGTCACAAGAGATGGAATTCCGACCTCATGCAGTTTCAGACATTTTTGCACTGTATTTTTGTAGAGCCATAGATGATGGAAAGGAAAGTGAAATATTCTGCAATTTAACTTAGACATGTTGGGATTAAGTTGAAAACCATTAAAAAGATGATATTGTGACTTTTTGGAGTGGAGAAAAAAGTTTGCAAATTGCTGATTTAACCAACTGATCAAACTACAAGTACAATTATGCCAAGTTTATGAATGATCTTACCGATTGTTCCATGCACTTAAATGTACCAACTCCAAGACCAAAGGGGAGAACTGAGCAATAATATGGTATAGGTTCAATGCCAGTTACATGTATGTAGAAAAAATTGATATGTGACCGGATGACTCCACATTTATACACTCTTCAAAACCTATTCATGTACTTTGTCATCTGACTAAAGAAAACGGCCTTTTCGGGCAAGTATACATTTACTGTACATGCCATAGGTGTAGCACACTTGTTAAGCTTGTGTTGTGTAACATATTACAGTACATGTACATGTATGCCACAAAACAGAAAAGAGGCACTTGTGTCTGTGAAAAAAACCTGCGTCTTGTGTTGATTTCAATATCTTTATCATTAATAATCAAAGCAATTTAAGCAAATGTAGATGTTGAGCACACACCGTTAACACATTATTTTTGTGGCATGCTCTAAATACGTATGTACAGTGCATCATTCATGTCAGTACTGCATAATTTATACTGAACCTTGCACACAGTTCATGATGCCATTACACATTCAATTATGTCAAACTAAACAGTTACATGTGTACAGGTTGTGAACCAGTGATACTATTAAAATGACCTTGGATAAGTCCTCTGAATTTCATGTTCGGTTGATCTGGATGGATTGTACAAACTGGGAAGCCATGTGTATGTGGCAATGCCTTCATTTTCTAATTCAGACTTAAAAATCAATTTTTTTTTTCATGTAGCCGATAAAAATTGATGCAGGCGGGGGAAGATGATAAACTAGTTACTGGTTCCTACATGTACATGTATTTCATGGGGCTGATGTGTGCACACGAAGACGGCATGTTCCCAAAGTGAGCAAGCTGCAATTGTATAGGTACTTGTTCATGTAGCAAAGGTAACAGGTTTCAGTCAGTAGTACAGTAGTGCTGTTTTGGTTTTTTTTTCAATTGTGCCCATTCTTGGCAAATGCTTCCTTGCTCCATTGTCGGATGATGCATGGTCAGGATGGAGCAATGTGTTTATCTTTGTTTCGTTACTCTTGGATCTTGGTCTCAGTCTTCAGCGTTTGAAGTGAGGATAATTCACTAATCTTCCAAGATTGAGGCGAGAAGTTTTTACAATGTTGCATATGAACGTGTACATGTATGTATTCAAGTACAGTACATGCACACTCCTGTACTGTCCAGTGTCACCCTTAATGCTACAGGCAACAAGAAGCATCCATATTTTATACAATTTTTCCCACTGAAATTTTGCATCAAATTGTAAAATACCTCTGAATCCATATGCAGTTTCAACTTGGCAACAAAACATCTAGCTATCCAGCTTATTTTTTACCTACACAGTACGTGTACATACTACATGTAGCGGTAGAGGGCCCTTCTATTTTGGCTTGAACATACCTGTACATGTATCGTGCAGTATGAAATGATTCAAAGGCAGTTGTTTTCCACGTATAAATGTTTGAAGAAATTAAAGCTGAAACAGACAAACAGGATTCCAATCTACATTTAATTGCACACAAACCAAGGAAAACGTTTTGGGAATCATACATACATTACATGTACATGTATGTATGTACGTGAAATTGCATTTACATCTGTAGGTCGTCAGAACATGCCAAATTGGCACAAGTTGATAGTACGTAGTTACTGTCCATAGTATATGTATGGAGCTCATGTTTTCTTGCATATATGAGCATATAAATTTTGTCACTTCAAATTAATGATAACTGTTTACCAGGGTGTTTGACAAAACATACCGAAGTCTGCATCATTTTCTTGGTTCATTTACATAAAGTATGAGGGTGCATGTACGACATGTGACTGATCATGGTGTATGCGTAATTGCATGTGTGAATGCTTTTAGATACAGTCAACTTCGTTGCATTTTACAAACTGTTTACTAATTAGTGGTCAAACTAATATACATTTACGTGTATTTTATTCTGTAAGTGTTTCCACACTTAACGTGTATGTATAAATTTGTAGAACTACCCTGGCTCACTTTGCCAATACATTTTGTGTTTTGGACTAGAATGTATAAGCAATGTCATCCCAAATATTCTGTAATTAATTTAGCTTAAGAAAGTTAATTTGTAATTTGTCTTATGCATGTGTTCTTTTTCTCCTTGTTGCTTATTCAAGTTCTAAAGAAAATCAAAATACACAAAACTTTGCAGTAATAATTTCTGTTTTGATTGTTTTGTGAATTGCGATGAATAATGCAGTGCAGCAATATTGCCACACAATAGTGTTTGTGCCTCTTTTGCCCAAACTGCTTATTGAAAACAAATTTGTAAAAAATTTCAAGATGCCACATGAATTTGTAAACTGTTTCATGATGTTGCTTCTCCCAAAAGAGATCAACTAAAATATAAAAAATTCCTCTACATGTACAATGTACATGTACATGTATGTCTTGTAAAATAGGATATACTCTTATATGCCGTGTTATCCAAGGGTGTTAGAGCTGTGGTATCACAAATACATTACTATTGTACATGTACAGTGTACATGTATGTACGTGTATGCATATTGTATGGGTACTTGTACAGGTATCTTAGCAGAGCCAAAACTCAAGTTAATTTATAACATATGAGACAGCAGCTAATGAGAATCTGAAAACACAAACATACAGTATAGTACATGGCGTGAAAGAAGATGCAGGACTTAGGAAGTCCACTTGCCTTTGTACATGTACATGTGTACTGTACTTCATGTATGATGTAGTGTATGTACATGTACATTTGTACATGTATGTGTGTGCTGTATTTAGCCTTATGGTTAATTGTACATATTCACATGATATGCATCTGCTACACGGAAGGAAGCTACACGGCTACACGTATGTGTAGCGTAGTGCTGAGGTCAATTATATGCATGACCTGACAACCAGTGCCATACAGAGCAAGGCATGCAGCTGCCAATGGCAAGGCGGGGATCTCATTTTCTGTGAACTTTTGAACCCCGCCCTGCGATAGCTTTTCAAAGGCTTTTCTCTCTGAATCGCCTGTAAGGCTGTGTGTGACGCAGACGCAGTGTTACTGACGTGTGCAAACACTTTCCAACTCTGTCTCAAGCAGATGATATTTATGCAACTGCAATTTTTAGGTGTCTGTTAGAAATGTATATGTTTTTTGTTTAGGATTTTGTTCTACTCATATTTATTATGTTATGTTTTACCATTATTTACAATATTTATTTGCAGTAGGAACACATAGCAAATTATGGTTATGGGAAGGGATTGGTCTGCATTTCATATTTTTGATTCCATTTTTAAAGTGTGGTAAAATTTGGGGTACATTTCAGTTTGGCAGTACTGGCAAACTTGCAAGAATTTTAGGATTTTATTTTGCTAAATCAGATTAGATATTATTGTGATTTAGCTTTTTGGTCATTTTTTTCATCTGACCAAACTTGATGAAAATCCAGACAGGGTCAAAATACAATGTAGTCTTACATGTATTTAAGCAGAAGTAAAAAAGTGCATAAGGTTCTACAAGTACGTAATGTGAATGGTTGTATCTGTGAAATACAAATTGTGTATTATTCACTCTACAGTTATGATAGAATATCATGGTTTTAAGAAAAATGATTTCAATGTAAAACAATGTACCAGTTCATATACATGTACTCGCCTCTCTCCATGACTTTTTAAAACATTGCACGAGTTCCCTAACCTTGGTACAGTGTACATGTAAACATTACATTGTTTTCTATTTTGAGCAAAACATTATTTTGAGCAAAACATTTGTCCTTTCCACAAGTTGGGATACAACTCATTAAAAATGTTTACTTGGTATTTTACTTTTTGGCAAAATGTTGACTAGACATTTGGAAGAGGCAAAAAGTTATATTTTGCATTGAAAGATCAAAACCAAGTAAAATTTGGCAAGTTAAAAATACAGGGTAGACTACTGTTGGAGCTCTCCTTTGTTAAATTAACATTAAAGATATCTTTCCCCAGCAATTAAATGAATGAGGGCATCAAGTAATATTACTTTTTGGGAAAACCACCTTTTAAGAGTACAGTAAGACTCCAAAGTTCATTGTTGTTCAATCAGTTGACTGGATCAAGATGCAGATGCATTGAGAAATATGCATGAACTTACGATAATTTATTAAACTTATACAGTACATGTATGTGGTGATATGCAGTGAAATTAAAAATTTGATTAAAAATTAAAAGTGAAATGAAAGGTTTTTTCTTAGAAAAGCATGCACCCTTAAAATTTTATTGTAAATTTCCTCATGCAGTTCGCATGATACATGAGACAAATTTCCATAATTGCACTCTGGTATCATACTTTCACATACACATAATTTTATGTGTAATACTTGGTTGTTTAATGTAAATCAAATGATTTAAATTGTTAAAAAAATCATATGAAAAAATAACGTTAAAGAAACCTTAATTCTTTGGAGTATTTGAAAGGAAGAAATGGATGAATGCAATATATTGATGCCTTTAAAACATTTCCAATCAACCAGAATTGGGTCATTTTGTTTATAATGTTTCTCTTTAAACTTATTCAACATTTACCCGGTACATGTGTGCCTCATGTACATGTACACCACCTTCCATTTTGTATGACTGCATGTATATGTACATGTATTTATGGAATTTAATAGCCATTCCATTTACATGTATTTAGATAAAGCAGCATTGAAAAATATCATGACCATTGGAACACCAAGGATGTGTTCTTATTCAATAAAGTCTCGAAAAATGTTACATGAGGCATGTCATTTGTTAGCAGGTACAGAAGTTTTATCCCAATTGAAGAAGCATACATGTACACTGTAGATACTGATTTTGTAGCTGGACTTAGCAAACTTTTGTGTTTAATTAGAAATAAACACTTCAATATACACTACTCAAAAAAGTTAAGGAACACTTTTTATTTTGTGTATACTTTTTTATATGAGAAATTTTACTGCTGAATATGTGCATTTGATGTTTTGAAGCATCTTTTATTATTCTTCCGATGAGAACACCATCTACATGTAGACAAACGAAAAATGAAAGAACTAGGCCCACTCATTGCTTGCTAAAAAAATTACAAATGAAGAAAAAAGCGGTCCTTAACTTTTTTAAGTAGTGTATAATAAACTTTACCCCAGCAGTCAGCACTTGGTCCATTAGTTATTACATCATATCTTAAACTTCAGGATCAAAACCTTCTGGACAACTTATAGAAAGATTGATTTAAAAACAAAATCAATTTAAATTTTAAAAATCTGATTATAATGTTAAACATCTGATTTTTTTTTTTAATCATAATACTTCCAATCAACCTAAAGTTACATGTGCGTGTAGCCTGGGTTACTGTCTGTTGTGTACTTTATTGAATGTAATATGACCTTTCACTTTTCAAGTGCATTTTACATGAACCTTTCAAATGCCATAGTTCAGTGGGTGATGCCATTTCAGGTTTAGGGTACATTATTTGTGTCTGTCATGTCTGTTATTGTGTTTAAAATTGTAGTTCAAACTGTTTCCTTTAAGGGGAAGTTTTTATACACCAAGACAGGATTTTGATAGTCCTTTATGGAATCAGGTCAGATGAGCTTTTTTTATTTTAAGTAAATTCTTTAATTTCAGTGGAGATACATGTACATGTACTTGTAAATGAGATTTTCAAAGAAAACCTCAAAACAAAATAGTTTTAACACATTGTTGTAATCAATGCACTGTAGATAACGTAATGGGGAAAATATTGTGCTTCTCTCATTTACATGTACCTTAATGCAGAGTTGCTATTTGTAAAGCAGGCTGTTCAGTGCTTCATAATTACAGAGACATTTTAACAGAAAGTAATGGTTACACATGTATTTTATGGCAAACATGAAATATTTTAATGCTATGGCATCATAAATGTACAGATGCTGTAGTATTTCAGGAATAACTTACATGTAGGTGTTGTGTCCTCATTACCTGTACTTTGATATCATTTGCTTGCTTCTAATATTGTACTCATGCAATAGGCCCACACTGGGAAATTTCCAGTTACGCTGTACATGTACATGTATTAACTGCTGTGAAGGATGTTAAGAGCTTTATCGGACATTTTGTACATTTTCCCCTTTGTTTCCATTACGATTACAACCTTTGTTACTTTGAGACTCATGGGAATATATTTATGAGGGCTAGTGGTCTGACATCCAGAGCTTATAGAAATCAGACAAAGCCATCATGTTCATTCATATGTAAATATGGGGCATTTGGAGGCATGGATGGAGTGTTTGGTCAAATTGTAAGGGTTGAATAGATAAGTTGACCTCTTTCATGGCTCATAAGCACATATTGCTGAGAGAAGTTCCTGTTAAGGGTCAAATGTGCACTTAAATTTTGACCTTTAACCTACAGTCCTGTGGTCCAATTTCAGTTGGATAGGATAGATATTTGTTCCCACTCAGTAGGCAGCAAAATCATTAGTCAGGAATCTATATCCCGTTGAGGCCCAATTCCTGAGGTTTCAGCTTTAATCCCTTCAAGTTTTAGTCAATATTCTGCACTTTGTACCGTATATGCGTGAACATTTTCAGTGTTCCAGAAATTTCAGGTAGAAATGTCAGTGCCCACTTACATGTACATTTGTACATGTATCCAGCTAGTATCTCCGAGAAACCTCTTTTCTGTGCAAGCGTAGGAGATACCTTAGCTTTAGACTTTACATCGAATGTAAAACAACAAGAACATGATAGTCACACTGTGGAAATACTAATTTGAAGAAGATTTCAACGGGTATTCCAGTATAGACCCAAGAGCAAGATGAATATCTTTGAAAATGGACTCCTTAAAATCTGCGTCTTTGACTTGGCAGAACTTGTGGTCTTTGGAACCCCAACCATTGGCCATCTCACCATCTAGTAAGGTGAAGACATCAAGTTTTCAGTTGACATGGAGAGCGCCCAGGTTACTCAAGAGGTAGAAGAGGAACCAGTCATGGAGGTTGTAGAACACCAGATGATACAGGAAACAGTTGCTGAGGAGGTGAGACATCTTAGTTGAATGTTCTGTCAGTAGTCACTGGTCCCTGGAGTTGAATTTGCTGTAAGCTTTCAGTGATATTTCAAAGCTTGCTTTAAGTTTTATTCATTTTGTCACATCACAGTCTACTGTATGTACATGTATTTCCTTGGTCCTCAGTGCTTAAAAGCTATTTTTTATGTGTTGTATTTTTGTTTTTGTTTGGCGACATTTCCATTTGAATTTGATAAAATAGAAGCACGCTATTTTAGGAGAAAAGCATTGCATTCTAGAGAACACTCTTTAAGTGCACAAAAAGAGAAAAATGCATTCTGTATGTGTGTAGGGGTTCAACATTCAAAAGCCATCACATAACTTTATTTTATGAAACAACAAAAGAAAATTTATGACCAAATGTGTGTATCCCTGGACATACGGATTGAATACACAACTTTTATGCCTACCATGAATTCCTCTGAACTCTTGTGGACTAGGCACTCATACATGTAATTGTGGGCCCAGTTTGAGCATAATAACTTGTCTGTGTTTCCTGTCCAAAGATCCCACATGAGAATCAGCTTCAAGATGTCATGTACATGGAACAGGTGAGTGAGAAGATATTGGCCCAAAAAATCTGAATGAGGTTTTTTACTGACATCATGAATAGATTATCCTGATACATGTATATGCATGGCATTCCTTGAACATCAAAACAAGGAAAATGCATTCTAAAGCTGGCAATTGTGGGAAAGGGAGAGGAGACACAGATATGATTAGCATGGGATGTTTCTGCATTGTTCATGTATTAAAGATACATGTACATGTATGTCACCCCTATGAAGGGATTTTTTTCTGAGATACATGTATATTTATCAACATTGGGTACTTAATCATATTCTGAGGATGAGTAAGTGAAACTTGAGGTATGTATTTCATTAGCTGCAAGCATTTTTGTTTGCGGTGGTCAAGTTTTGTATTAGCAAGGCTTTGTGCAAATTTGTGGTGTTACTTAAAGGGAAAGGATATATTCAGTATTATTTTTTCCTCCTTTAGGTACCACAGACCAGCAGCCAAGAAGTGCAGCATGTGATTGAACAGGTACTGTACTTGTACAAACTTGTATGTGTACTCTCAAAATTTCCTTACCAAGAAATACAGACCTATGCAGAATGGCAGTGTAACTGCTGGATAAAAAAGCTTGTTCAAAACTAAATCTTGTTCAAATGCAGTATTGGTACTTCCTGCGCTGGATCATGACTGACAAATTCTGTTGTTTCCAGGGACATGAGCTGAAAGTATTCATGCATAATAATTCATATGTTTTATACATATACAATATGTTTCATACGGGTATGTACAGTGTACGTTATTTAGCTGTAATGTTTTCTTCCAATGAACCCACCAAAGTTGTGGTTTTTTTCCATTTTTTTTTCAATGTTGTTAGGTTTCTCAGGCAAACCAAATACAAGAAGTACAGGAAGTTCAACAGGTACATGTCACATCTTCTGTTATACCATGTGTATGTGACATTATGTGAAGCTAAGCAACCCTGAAAAAGCTTCCTCACTGTGTATTGTTCATGCAAATTGTTTGGAACTTAAACCAAGTCGTGAGTCATGTGATTTTTTTTTGTGATTGCTCAAAGGGATCATTAACATCAGTTGTTTTTTGGCTCTCCGTGAAAAAAGTTACATGGGTGGATAGCAAAAAAAATTGTTGGCTTGCTGCAGCGTTATGATCTTGTCAGATTCAAGAAGAATCTTAGTATAAATGTCAACGGAATCATTGTTATCAAAGAAAAAGGCTTTGAAAAGTATTCCATCCAGAAAACAATTTGTAGCTGTAAATATAGAACTAGATTTAGCCTGGTATCACTTGAATGATTTGCATGTACATTGACTTTAAGTTGCTAGAGTAGAATTTAATTCATAGAAGTTACATTGAACGTACATGTACATTTCTTCTTTCCTTTATCAGGTGTCTCCACAATTTGTTCAGCATATTGTACAACAGATGCCACCTGGCACAGTTCAACAGGTTGTTAAGATGCCCAGTCATGTGGTGGCCCAAGGCCAAACAGTCAGCCAGTTGTCAGGCCAACCAGTACAGATTGACACATACAAGGTAAATGACCAAATTGGATATCTGTTTCTGTACTATTAGCATGTTAAAATAAAATAGTAAGTCGGCATCGCAAGTCTTTGATTACCATGGAGAGCCTTCAATTAAAGCTAAGATTCATGCTTGGGTTATTCTTTCTTTTGCACCACACACACAGGGCTCTCTGAATAAAAACATCACATGTACATTTTGCAGATCTCTGACCTTGCCTTAACCTTGAACTTGTGAGAAATGGTTAAGTATTTCCTAGTCTATTTATTGGTTGTACATGTTTGCATTTTACACGAAGAAGTAAATATGTGTGGAGCTTTCATTGTGTAATAAAGTTTTCAATTTTATTTCAATCAAGGATACTTCCTTTTTTTACTATGTTATGGCTTTGGTGTTAATGTTGCAAACCATTTTGAGTTTTGTGATTTTATGTTGTGATTTGATTTTACCAAAGCACAGTCATTACCACTCTATTGTATGTAAGAAATACTGCCACTTTCATATTCGCCATTCACCACCCCATTGCAATTTAGTTTATGCCACAGCAACAAGTTCATGGAGGATTTTTCTACTGTAATCTTTTCCATTTTATAGGTACAGCAAGTACAAATCAATCAACGTACAGTGGAGCAGCTGGTGAAGGTAGACCCACAAGCTACCATTGATGAAATGGCTCTCAAGACAATGGGGGTGGACCGTAAAACACCACAACGCCCTATTGAACCATGCATGGTGTGTGGCGACAATGCATCAGGTATGGCATGCCAGCATGATTAGAGGTTACAAGCAAATTTTACTGACCTGGCTCAGGTTTTTTGCTGTTACATTTGTCTTTGATAATTGATTAGGTTTTATAGACCAGGATTTTCAGTCGCTTTCATTTAAAGCCAAAATGACTCCAAAGTAGCTAAAAGGCTTTATATATACATTTACATATAATTGAGTCATTGCCTATGCAGTAGGGAACCTTTGTGTAACAATTATTATTGAAGAGTAACCTTACAGTGATATGCCAGTGCTGTATTAGGGAAAACAAAATTTGGAGTCATACTGAACAGTTGTTGCACGTATTGTTCACCCATAGTGCATAGGACTCAAAATGAAAACGCAAGTAAGGCAATGTCAGAACAAACTTAAGATAATACTGCATTCCAAATTTTAACAATGCTTTCATTTTTTATTTGTTGTATGATTCCACAGGTCGCCATTACGGGGCCATAAGCTGTGAAGGCTGTAAAGGCTTCTTCAAGCGCAGCATCCGCAAGACGCTATGCTACACTTGCCGTGGAAACAAGGACTGTCCAATCAATAAGCATCATCGCAACAGGTGCCAGTACTGTCGGTTGCAGAAGTGCCTACTGGTGGGAATGAAATCAGAATGTGAGTACTGAGAAATTGGGCAAGAAGGCCCAAAACTTGACCTTTTCTTTCATAGTCTCTGCCTGGATGAAAGAAAGTTTGTGGTCAGAGCCAATAGTGATAACTGGCTTTAATCTGACTGGCTGTAATCCAATTGACTTACAAAGGCTTAACATGATAGCCATCTTGCAGGTCAGTCATTTTGTTCAGAGGGAAACTTCCTTTGGGCATACCCTGTGGAACAAAAGCACTGGTCTGCAAGATGACAGCCATGCAAACCCTTCATTTAACATTCTAGTTATCTGAACTGTACTTTTTCTGAACTACTGTACTCTCTTCAGCATACATCGTGATTTTGCAAATCACTTCTTATTTGTGTGCTTTCCCACCATCTGAAGCTGCAAATTAACCATCCATTGGACGTAAAGGAAGTTTCGCATGTGATTAGATTTGAAGTTAGAGACAGAGCTTAGCATGGAACTGTTACTGTACATATTTTGCAGAGAAACAAGACGTCCTTGCTTCTGTGACTGACCAATAATTTTTTATTTTCCTGCAGTTGTCAATTATAATGTGCATGGACAATGTATGGAACATACAGAACAATGTATACCTTGCATGCATATGCATATATGCATACCTTTCTTTTCCACTTTCAAGTGCATAGTCGTGTGGTAAATCAATGCAGAGTTTGACTTTTTTGTGGGGAGCATTAGTAATACCTAAGAAATAATTTATGTACCATTCTCAAGTTCACCCCATTTGAAAATTGGTCACTTTCTTGGGACTCTTCCTTCCCCCAGTAGTGCAGTGTGAACGGACACCACTTAAGGCTCGAGGAGAGAAGTCACCAGGAAATTGTGCTGCATCCACTGAGAAAATCTACATACGGAAGGATATCAGAAGCCCTCTGGCAGCTACACCCACATTCATTACAAGTATGTATGTGTCTATAGTGGTTCATGAACTGGATACAACCATAAACACATTCTGGAAAAAGACAGTACTTTCTGTTCGAAAACTTTAAGTGTTCGGTCATGTAAAATTTTCGTATTTAAATGTCTTTCCAGTCGTGCATGCCTTAATCTTACCGGTATGTCCAATTAAGTGTACTTTGAGAGCATAAATGAGAAAAAGTAAATACTCTCTTAACCATTGTTGAACACAGTCCTTCAGTAATGTACCCATTTCCTGATTGTCAAATTTGTGGTGGCAGAAATGATGAAAAGTATGCATGATAGGAGTCATGCATTTTGTCATCATTTTTACAAACGTACAAAGCGTATTCTTTTTCCTGGCCCTCCCTCTAAAAGAGTACAAAATAAAATGATGATTTCTCTGTGGGGCCTGAGGACCTATTCTAACTCACAATGTAAGGCTGTTAATGTGCGGTAGACAACCAGAGAGTAGTGGTAGGAGGAAAAACAATGTCCATGACAGGCCTCGCATTCATGGTTTTCTGATTGCCCGGGACAAATTTCTTCTTTGAGGTTGAGCGAGTAAAAATTAAGGACAAATGACCGATGGACAGGTACTTTTTCTTGAAATAAAATGTATTCATTTTTTGTTGCCTAGAAAAGCATTTAGCAAATGTATCTTAGATTTGACATGTATGTATAAACTGGGTTTATTCCATACATGTCTACAGGGGTGTGAAATCTCCACTTTTTAGCAGATTTCCGCTTTTTTGTTGAAAATTTTCTGCTTTTTAGCTATTGATGGGTCAGATTTACTCGTTTTTCTTCCTTTACCAAGTGCCGATTTTCCAGTTTTTCTTTTTCTGTTGACGCGATAGTAGGCCAAACCAACACGGAACAGGAGTGGAGCACTTGAATGCACGTGACTGCATCTACTGTACAACATACACGTACACCGTACATGCATATGTATGCCGCACGTGTACAGTGTCTACAGATCTGTGTACGGGCATTATATTTGGTGCCATCAAGCTTTGTGTGTAAATAGCATCCCCAGACCATCCAGTCATTGTGCTGTGATTGGCTGCCAATAAAATATCAATATTCATATGTGTGTCAGTGGGACTCCTTGCAGCCGTTCGTGTGTGAGCAGAAGTAGTGACTAACAATCTCCACTATAACTCGTGGTGGCATACATTTCATTGTAACTTTGAAGCTTGAAGTAAGGTTAGTTCATTTTCGCTTTCTCTGATAGAGGGCTTCGTGACAACTGGTGCGGGGTGAGGAAGGTTCTTGTGTCGGGCATTCTCACGCGGTTTTACATTGTTTTGTGTGGGCTTTCAAACAATTTTTGGTCAGAAACTTATTGTAATATTAGTGCAACACGTGCACAATTGTCCAAAGAGGTTCCGACTTGGATACAGCCTTTGATAAGACTGATCATCAAGTTATAAATCGGCATAAATGGACAGCAGACGTGATGGGCAGCCAACACAACATGGTCCATGCCTGTAGAAACCAAATGTCTGGACATGCAATGTACATAATGTACACATACGATGTGCATTTTTCCAAGAACTGAAATTTCAAAAACATGCTCAGATCAGGTGGGAAAAGGGCCAACTCACTCTACAAACTTTGATAGTTACAATTTTGGTATACCTGTTACTAATTCATTTGGAAAGAGTTCCACGTACGGACAACACTTCATGCCTCTGTGCACAAACCTATGAGACTTTACTTAAAAAAGCCTGTTTTCTAAGTAAACTCTTGAGAATTTTCTCAGCTATTTTTCACTTTTAGGAGGTTTCACTTTCTGATGGCTGTTATATGTTGTCCGTATACATGTATACATTCTTTCCATTCATTTTAACCTCTTCAAGAATTTCAGACAAATATGAAAAAAAGTAAAATCAAAAAATATACACAGCCTAAATTGCAAGAAAAAAATGATCAACAGTTACACCAGGAGGCTGTAAAATGTACCACAGAGCATGTACATTTCAAAATTTTCCCGGGGCTCTTCAGCGGGCCCCGGGCCCCACACCATATATGCTTCGCGCTCAGAATTTCAGCTATTTTTTTCTTCGATTCTGACTTCATTCCTGTTACCTAGTTAACACAAAAAATAGATACAGTATCGAAAAAAGCTTTCTCAGCATAAGCACGTTGCCACTCAAAAAATGCATTTGTATTGCAACTGATTCTTAGCTGAGTTATGCATAACCCCAACATTTTCCAAACAACATTGACGGAGTACCTCCACATCTTATTGTATCCTCATTGATGTAGCTAATATACCTGTTGCATGTTTTTTTACGTCTAGATTACAAGAACCCTTTTTTCTCTCTGACTAGCTACAGATAGGAGTCCAACCTATCCCATGCAAAAGACTAAGCTCTTTGAGGAAGGCCTCTTGCTGAATGTACAAACCCCCACTGTAGTCTCGCAGGCATCTACTGACACCACCACAGACCTTAGCACCTTGGCTAGTGTAGTCACGTCATTGGCAAACATGAACAAAGCTGGTGAGGCTGGACAGGCAGGGGATGGACAGATGGTACGTCATTACGGTTATATACTTTTCATTCCTTCTGCTTTATACATTTGTGTAATTGGTTATTCAGGCTTAAGAAGTTCCCTGAATCTGCAACTAAAAGGTGTTATTATAGGTAAGTAAGAAAACAAGCCCTTCTTGTGATGTTACAGTTGCTGTACATTATAATAAAACTGCATTTTCCCCACACTGTTTACATTTTATGCAAGGATTGAACCTGTAAACACCAGATTGGATGTAAATTCCAGTCCAGCTACTTACTTCAGTAGCAATAGTTCCATGTTACAGTTGTGGGAAGGTAGTTACAGCTGTAAGAAATATGTGTCAATGCATACTCTACCCAGAGATTCCTAGTCAGAGATACAGGTCTCATTGTCTCACTAGATGGTATCAAATGGAGAGACATCAGCTCAGCAGGGTCTGAGCCAACTCAACCAGACACCCAACCAGATCTCAAAAGCCTTTGACACTCTTGCCAAAGCACTTGCTCCAGGAGGAGAAGGAGGTGATGGAAACTCAGCACTTGAAATCAGGTCAGCCAGTGGTTGAGAAACTTAGCAATGTCCTGTCTGTAGCCCTAAAATTACAACATGTCTGCAGGCTGTTTTTGACAATTCTTTTAATTGCTTAACACACCTGATCAATTTCTAGAGGATTGTCACATGTCTCATTGAAAGAAACATAGTGTCAACAAGTAACATTTTTTACGTTGTCACATTTGAAGGAGTAAGGAAGCTTCCCAGCACACTTTCCCAGAGAGTTGGGGTTAATAGCCACTGTCAGCATTAAGATTTGTACTTCAAATCATGCTGATTTATAAACATACTGTACTTAATGTGTATCCTGCCATTAACATGTTCTCATTAGCAGTCTGTCGGAACAAACTAATGGCGGCAACAATCAAAGTGGTTCCCATGAGCAACAATTCATCAAGCTTGAAGGCAACATGTTGAATGAGAGTCACATGCAGTTCAAGCTGACCACCCCTTCTCCTATGCCACAGTTCCTTAATGTTCATTACATCTGTGAATCAGCATCACGACTCCTGTTCCTCTCTATGCACTGGGCAAGAAACATCCAAGCCTTTCAATTACTGGGGTAAGATGATCTATCATAAGACTCACCAAGGTCCAAAGGTGTACTGTACATGTACATTAACTTGATCTGTGCTTATAAGTATTAAGACAATGGTGACAGTCCTATTGTTCCTCACTTCTGTTTGCCAGTGCTTGTTAGTGATAAACACTGACAATTAGATGCATGGATGCATTTTCTTTTAATTGATATTTAACCTACCTGATTTTTCTACAAGATTGACAATAGACCTGAAATTAAACAAGGATTTACTTGCAATATTTCATTCTACTGGGGATTTACTTTCCCAACAATGTACTTATCGTACTTAAGATATCGCAGATCCAGTTTGATTATATGAACTCATCCTTTCCTCTTCATTCCTCTTTTTTCCCCCGCAGCCCTGAGTCCAATGTAACCATGGTCCAGAAGTGTTGGAGTGAGCTTTTTACTCTGGGTTTGGCCCAATGTTCCCAGACAATGGCTCTCTCCACTATCCTTACTGCAATTGTCAACCACCTTCAAACCAGCCTGCAGCAAGGTACCGCTGCCAATTTGTGTGCCGTGCCCCTTGAGCAAGGTAGCTTCTGCAGGAGGATTTGTTCCCACATTCAGTTGGGGACAACAAATTTGTTTTCCATTTTCTCATCACAAACCAAATCCAGACTGATGTGCATGCCTTCCCATCCCTTCTCCCTGCCAATCCATGAATATAAATACATATATATATATATATATATATGCATGCCTCACTATCATCATAGATTCTAGCTGGGATTTCTGACCAGTCATTAGTGCAGTACTAATGTTTTTGTGCATCCGGCAAATGTGAGCACTCTGAAAAACCTCAAATCTTTTTCAAGCTGCACTTGATTTAGTTTTCCTCCAAGAGGTAGACACATATGTTACCTTGCTGAGTAAACACTGATGGAAATTTCTCTTGTCTGTCCGAAATACACTAGTTTTTGTGTGTGCCTTTGATGCGATACTGCGACTCGGAGTCAACCAAATAGAACATACAGTTTGTTTCTTTCCTGCATTCTTTCAAATATTAATGTCCTATGCTCGTCAAAAATAGCAGTGCTCAGCGCATGCGTTGTCAAAAGCAACATAACATGCCATGAAAAGATGTGTGGCTAAACTTCATCTTACCTTCTAACTGCAGTATTATCCTTGATTCTCTTAATAGAACTGGAAATAAGGCCTTGCTGAATAAGTGGTGTAGTATGATGTTTTGCGTGTTTCATTGGGGATTCATCTAAAGCTTTGACAATTGCTATTGATTTGTGTGATTTAATAGCCACACAAGTATCTTCAAAGAAGAAACGTGATAACTCCTCATTGTAACCCTTATGAAGGAGGTTTGAGGTTTTCAGACGGCTCCTGAAATCATGACAGAATTGGTGCATGTCAAAAGAATACAGTAATGTTAGTTACAACTCATGAAGCATAACAGCAATTTCTGCCATGTGTGACATTGATTTGACAGTTATCTGTTCGCTTCAATTTTCATGGATGGTTATTGGCACTGCACAAAATTTGGTATGCTCCTTGATACAATGTTTCAAAGTTCAAAGGGAAATAAGCATGTTCACCTCATTACTGCAGAAGCTAATCTTACTCTTATGCATGGTGTAATTAGTTGAGTAAGCAGAATGGAATATCTATGTACATAACATTTTGGGTCATTTGTATTAAGACAAGTCATTTTTTTCTTGATGCTGTTCAAGCCTCTTCATACTAGGTAATTTCACTGAAGGCAATTAAACTGATGTGCAGCTCCTTGCTCACTTGTGGGTATCAATAGACGGCTTTTCTAGGTGACTTTCAATAATATGCAGCATGCGTACATTTTTGGATTACTTACTCTTTTGAGAACTTCAATGATAAACTTGCTTTTCACAGGAATTTATGTTTTCCTAAGATCAGCTGAGTTTCTTGATCTTTGCAGGCTTTTGTACTTTCCATGTTTGCTTATAACGATTCTAGTTCTTCACAGTCATGTCACTCACATGCAGCTGAAAGTTCCCCTTCCTTGGCTTCTTAGTGTGATCCAAGTGTCTCAATTTGTATCATTGCAGGTTCTTTCAAAAGCTTAAGAATGGTGCCATTTTTCAATTAAGTGTGCATAAGTTACTACTTTCCTGATGTAATTTCCTAAAAGTAGGTCCTTGATTACATGAAGTAAAAATCAAGAAATGATTGTTTCAGTTTATAAACACTGCTGATAAAAATGAAAAAAGAATGCAGTGTACATGTAGGTCAATGCCATTTGCGTCATATTTCCAGGGAACCTTCTAACAAACACCCCACCCCCCTCAAATGGTCGCACTTCATTATCTCAGCTTGATTTACTATTAACATTTGGAAACAAAAGTATTGTGAGCACTTTGTTGACAGCTAGGAACATTTAGAATGCTGTACTAGGGGCTTAATGTAGAATTTATCAGCCATTGTATTAAAGATGTATTTTTATTATGTATGAAATGCATTAGATTACATTTCCAAGATTGTTCAATTGTTACGTCTCAATCCTCACCCTTCATTGTGTGAGCATACTGTTATTTGTGTGGACCCAGAGCAAAAGATGTTCAGGACCATATATTTGCATAGCTGATGTATTGCATGAAGTTGCCCTTGAACACACATTCCCTTCTCAAAATCAGAAAGTTCTGAGGCAGTTGGGGTAGGTTTATCTTTTGCAAAATAAAGAATAGTGAAAGATATCATCCACAAAAATCCACAATAAAAGAATGTTAAAAGTCCATTAGACTGAAATGGAATAGCCACACTAGGCATATAATGCTAATTGGGGTGTGCATTCCTTGGCTGGTGTGACTTGGTTCCACACACACACACAAACTGAGGGCTTTTCAAGGATGTAATAAGGGTCACTCACGGGAGCCGTGCCTCAGATCTTTAACCCCTTCTACAATTCATTCCAGACAAGCTATCAGCTGACAGGGTCAAAGCAGTCATGGAGCACATTTGGAAGCTTCAGGAGTTTGTTTCCGTGACCACTAAGTTACAAGTTGATGCATCCGAGTTCGCCTACCTCAAGGCTGCTGTCCTCTTCAGTCCAGGTAAATAAAGTACACAGTACAAGGTAGCCACTGAGATACTGAAAGGTACCCTACAGATGAACATAGATATCCAGGAAACGCAGCCTCTCTAGGTCCTAGTTCTATTTTTGTTTTGGAAGAATATGGTGCTTGAGTTAGACCACACATGTAGCTTTCAACAACTGGTGAAAATGTAAGTAGCAACCCTCATTTTCACTCCCAGCTTAAAATCAAATCATAAGAGTAATTCCATAAATATTATGACAGGCTGTCTTTGCTATGGTTGCATTACAGATCATCCAGGCCTTGTCAACCCTCGACAGATTGAGAAATTCCAGGACAAAGCCATCAGTGAGCTTCGGGAGTATGAGGCCAAGACCTACCCCAGTGACCCAGATCGCTATGGCAAGCTCTTGCTTAGGCTTCCAGCCCTTCGACTCCTCAATCCAGGCATCATGGAGGAGCTTTTCTTTGCTGGGCTGATTGGTAATGTTCAGATTGATAGCATCATCCCATACATCCTGAGGATGGAGACAACAGATTACAATGCCCAGATCACAATAGCCACCAGCTCTGGACAGTGAAAGGGAATGCTTCACTTGCAGATGGTGTAATGATGGACCACACTGTTTGAGAATTCTTCTGTTTTACATGACAGTCATTTTAAGGTTCTCTCCTGCTCCAAACCACAAGAATGTCTTAAGTCTCCCCAAAATATGTGGGCTTATGGGTGATGCATGACTGATATCATCCAGCCTTTGTCATCAGCCATGTTGGATTATCCAATATTGGAGGGGAAAAGCCCACATGGATAATTCGTACAAATTAATAAAAAATTGTACATAAATTGAATAAACATTTCTTGTTTCAAAGTGTTTTATTGGTATGGCATTGAGGGGCAACAAAACAATCATGAAGTAATTTTTTCATAGCAGAATTTAAAATAAGTTAAAAGACTTGCAACATTCACAGCCAACATGCATCCCAAAACAGTTTTGGCAAATGTTAAATGTCAGTGAATCATTTTGAGTGTTTGGCTCCAACAGTTAGATTTGATATTTAACAACCTTGAAAGATTGTGCATTTTGGTTTGTGTTTTGGATTCAGGGGTATATGGGGGGTTGAATTTTTACAACATTGCAAGAATTCATACAGGTCATTACACTCAAAAGCTGCACTATTTAGCTAAATCCTATGGAAAGAGGATCAAACTATTTTATTGTACATAGAACATCTTTTTGTTCTGTTGCTGTATATAAAGCTGGTGAGATGTAAACAATAGTGCTATAGGACCTTCTTTACTTGGCCTAAATTCTGTCTTCACCACAGAAAGGGGATGCCTTTTTAAATCTTTAAGACTTGTACAGTACATGTTAAAGATGGCATTCTAGGAAAGAGGTAGATTACAATTTTTTTCATTTGCTTTTAACTGTGGACATCAAATGTGCGCATTTTTAAACACTAAAACGCTGCAAATTGATTAATAGTATCCAGCTGCATTTGTCTTGTAAAAAATAAACATGGGTGTTACTTGTAGCATATGTGTTATATAGGTTTCAAGTTGTGTAGGTAGATTGCAAGTTGTTGGTCCTTGCCAACTATGTGACCTGATTAAAGTAATTTTAAGTCGACAACACTTTTCCTCAGATTCAGGGATCCAATACCAGATGTTGTCAACCTTTCTCATGCCTTTAGAGTATTCTCAAATGTATCCAACACACAACTTAACTCCAGTGCTTGGGCAAATTAAGATTTGGCAATTTGTTTTATTTGGCAAATTAAGACTTAGCAATTTGTTTTATTTTTTCCTAACATACAGGACACACGCCCTTCAGAACCTGTGAAAATGGCAATTGGTCATCATCTTTTGTACCCTTTTGGGACAGGGATAGGGTTTGAGGAAGAGTGCCTTGTACACTTTATTAGGAAAGAGGTCAAAACAGATGAGTGATGTCTTAAATTTAAACTGATTCATGCCATCTTCTCTGCAACCTCTGCAGCAACAGAGTGGAATTTATTTACCTTAGTTGTATGTACAGTCAAGGGAAATAACTTGTTACTGTCTGAAAATGTCCATTTTATTTATACTCTGCCAACTTTCCAGTGGTACTGGGATCTTCAGGCTGTTACTGGATAGTCTTGATTTGCACAGTGTTCAAATGGTTAGCTACACGGCATTGTTCAGATTTTTAGCAGTGAGCAATGCCCACTGGGTAGCATTAAGTGAACTTTTCATTTGGTATACACATTCATGTTAACATGTACTTATTTTGCCTGTTTAAAGTTTGTGTGTAACTTTATTTTGCATGTTAATAACCAGCAGACATTCTGGTTACAGCATGTGTAAAGTTTTACTGCAGACTTGTTCTAAATACTTCTGACCACAATTCCTTTCTCCACCATTTGACAAGACACGTTTTTTTTTTTTCAGTTTTGTTTTGATTTCAGAGTTGCCTTGCAATTTTGGTGATGACACAGATAATTTCAATGAACTTTGCTGAGTTGCATGTCGCTCATAACATACATCACAAATACTGTTTATACTATATCACAAATTAAACTGTTCCTGCTTGTTTTATCATGTGTAACACAAGTTTGCTTTTAACTTATATATGTTAACTTCCCTCATGAACAATTCTTGTGTTATTTCTGCAACCACAGTTAATAAAACCTTAACCCTAACACTCCTCAATCCTTCACCTGTTGGAGGACTGAGGAGTGTTAGGGTTAATGCACAGGAAAAATGTGGTTTATACTCAGAAATGTCATAGGTAAACTAAAAGCTTTCCCCACCTCATTAATCAGAATTGCATGCATGCTACATATTCTTTTTTGTTCATATCAATTAGGGGGATTAACATAAACAGTCAAAAGACAAACCTGCTGTACTCTGCAGAATTTATCAAGAGTGACAAAGGTTTGACTGTTTATACTGCATTAGCAAAACCAAACAGGCATCAGTTTTGGATCATTATGTAAAATGTGGATTAAGATTGTTTTTAAAGTGAATGTTGCTCTTGAGAAATGTGAAGAATGTGTTGTGAAACTTATAATTAAAGTGCTCAAAATGCATGGCTATATGGTTTATTGGGAAAGTTGACAACAGTTTGTGTTGGGGGATGTTTCATTGGATACAAGGTCCACAACTGCAGTGTTTTCAGTATAATGAACTGAGAATAGGTTTTGTTTGCGTATATTTAAACCCATACAACTGGTGGTATTGTTGGTAACAAACATCAATGAATTAACCATTTTTATGTAACAAAAATCTTCAAATTTTAATTGTATTTTTATTTTAGTTTACCAGTTTGGATATTCCGAAATATGTGCACAATCACAGTTGTCAAGGAGAGCACTAACCAGAATTTAGTTTGAATGTAAATGTGACTCATGTACCTTTGTGCTAAGCACACCATCCAGGATGTCAACTTTGTACATTTTTCTAGCCCACTGTACAAGCTTATCTCTGTACACCTATATCAGTATGTATATACATGTGCGTGTCATGAAATCACTACAGGTGAATGCTACCAGGTTTCTGATGTGATTAAATATAAAAATTATTGCATAGTCAGCTGCCAAACAAGTAAATGCATTCCTGTCTGTCATTTTGTGAAAGGTTTATCAGGGCAGGTTCAAGCATGACTACAGTTAGACCACTCTGACCAATGGGAACATACAGTAACATCCTCCTCAAACAACCCTTATCCAAACATTTTGGAGAATCCCATTGTTTCACACATTTTTACATTGAGACCATTCACAACATGAGATGCAAGACCACTCACAAGTACCAGGGTGAACAACAAAGGAATGCTTTTTGGGGTGAGTCAACTGAATGGCTTTTGACTTGATTTCTAACAGGAGGTCTTAACTACAACACTGACCATGAAAATATAATGTATGCACTGGCTTTTCAGAGAAACAATATGCATGGAAACCATTGATGCTTTATTCACAACAGCAGGTGTACGCTTTGATACCTTAGCTGAGACGTTTCCTTTAGTAACCTGATCTGGAGACATTCATCACAGCTAGCATGGTCCATACCTCAACTGTGAGAATCTGGGTCTGCAAAGATGCAACATTCGATGAAGTGTTTAAAGTGGTGATAAAATTTTAAAAGGTTACTGATTCACTCTGGGGCTACATGCAATTTCAGCTGGCTTGGCCATACAGTATGCTGCATTCTGTACATTTATACATAGCAGATAGCATGACCCACCTGTAATGATAATCCTGAAAAGTTCTCAGGAACTCCACTCCTGTCCCTAGGTTACTATCCAGCCAAGCTTTGATTGCTTCAGGATGTCTTGAGTCGGTCTCCAGCCAAATAAAGCCCCCTGTTTTCAGGAGGAGGTGTGAATTCCAGAGAATATCCTTAATAAGAGCCATACCATCAGCACCACCACACAATGCTCGAAAATCTTCATACCTGGAAACAAAAAAGCGAAAACTAACCACCAGTTATCTATACTGGACAGCGAAAGAAACTTGCCACTTCTGTCAAAGGCCGCACATAAAAATTCACCCCACAGAAATACACTATTTTTGTACACAGCTATGCTGCAATACCCCTTACTAATCACATGCCCAAAAGCAAGTGATTATCTTTATAACAAAGAAGAAATTGACATGCACAGCAACTTGGTTACTGAATCAAAAGTGGCACACAAAAGCACTCTCCACCAAGCAAAAATGACCCATGAATGGACAACATTTTAAACAAATAATGACAAAGTGAACACCTGTTTTGTCCAAATAATCTGTATGAGCGGTTTCTGTATAGGGATGCCATCCTTACTATGTTTACACATTATTGAAAAAGTAATGATTGTGACTTCTTTATTTCGTCCTGTGACATTGATTTCTGCGTAAAACTCACAGCTCATTCTGTTACATTGTGTGACTTTCGATTTGGTAACCAAGTTGCTGTGCATGTCAAATCACTTGCTTTTGGGCATGTGATTAGTAAGGGGTATTGCAGCATACCTGTGTACAAAAAGTGTTTATTTCGATGGTGTGAATTTTTATGTGTGGCCTTTGACAGAAGTGGTAAGTTTCTTTTGCTGTCCAGTTTAGTGTTAGTTAAAAGTACATGCTGAATTCAAGGAACTATCACAAAGACAGTATCACCATTCATCCCATTCTATATCAATGCTTGACTTGCAATGAGACTCGTCAACATACTCCACTTGCTCAAACAATTAAGTATGAAAAATAAAGCTGGCCGATTAGCGAAACAGTTTTCCTTTTCTGCGAAACTTCAAAAATAATACACTTGCAGTTTGATTTCTGGTTGTAGTTGCTGCATGTCTTGGGTTGCTATGTAAGGAGGGTTGCTGATAATGGCATCAAATGAGTCTCTCTTTCCTTTTAGACACTCGGGCAGATCTGATGTGACAGTAGCACAGTGTACAGTCAGTCTGGCCTGTACTCCTAGCCTGCATGAAAACATAATTTTTCTATCTTTTGAACAGGGATTCATTATGTACCATGATAACAACTATTTTACCATAAGTGGCAAAAAGTGTAAGAATAAGTGATAACTTTTATCTATTGATGATGTAACCATTTTCATCACAACCGAAGTAGGCCATTTACTCATGTGACTTGAATTTTTTCTTTTATTTATTGCTTGATGCTGATGTAAGAAAACATTGTCAAGTGCCTTCACCATCAAAAGTTATTGTTAACTTGTTAAATAACCTAACTTTGGAAATCCCATGCATTATTTGCACCATTCATGGTACATTATATACCTTTTAGCATTTTCCAGCATCAGCAGAACAGCCTCTTCACTGCAATCAACAGCAGTCACATGGGCCTACATAGATTAAAAAGGTTTACAAATTGCATAATTTCTCAAACTTTAAACTATACATTTTCAACCCACAGGCACATAGGAAGATGATTCTACCGAGGGGGGCAGAAAATGAAATTTCTTGGAGGGGAGTCCAAGGCATGTGATTGTGAGCGCGTAGCGCAAAACCTGTACGGTGTGGGGTCGGGAAAATTTTGTAAGATTTTGTGCTCTGTAGTGCATGATACATAAGCTTCACTGGAACATATTTTGAGCAATCGATATTTTGAAATTTTAGCATTAAAGATAAATTAATTATAGTAAGATCTGATATAATAATTAAATTTTCAAAAATGACATACATGTATCTTAAAATGCACATTATGAAGGTGATATTTTGTAAAATCGTAACAGGAAAAGTGTTTCACAAAAGCATTAAACGTAACAAAATCAAGAACCCAAATTTTGCCAAAGGAAAAGGTGGTCAACCTAAATAAGTATTGGAAAGTCTAAACACTCATTTTGAAAAGAAAAATATTCTTTATTTTCTGTGCACAAACCAACTGTTATGTTAAGGCTTTGCCTTAGATGACATCACTAACTTATGGACAGGGACAAGCTTTAAATCTTTAAGTTTAAAATAGTATGGGGATGTGTTTCAACTTTTATTTACTTGAGGAAACCCCCAAAAATGAGTGGTCACAGTGAACACAATCTTCCTTTGCCTCAACTAATAAAACATTCAAAGGAAGAAGCTTGCGGATATTTCAATTTTTGGATAAAAAGTGATGGCTATATCCCATTCAGAGATGCTCTCTCTTATAAATTGATTTCGGGAATAAACTTTGGGTGATTTCGAAAAAACATGTTTATTTGAGGGTGTGTCATTGTGGGATTTAACTTCTACGTGGAGACTGTAGTGGAGCCTCGGGAGGTTAGAAATAATAGGAAGAAATTAAAATAATGTAGAAAAGGCCACCAGCTGCATCCAAATCTGTTGTCTAGAGCTAGATCTATGGCTTTGCTCCATTGGAGACACCAAGAAAATAAAGCTAGCCTTGAGCTCTAGAAGCCTGTTTTAGACATCGACATGACCAGCAATGCGGCTCACTTGCGTACTGCACGAAATGGGACTGCAAGATCTCAATTGAAAGTAATCCTAAAATTTCTATTTTCCACTGTAATCTGAGTAAAATTATCACACACTGCTACAACTACTATCCACTCTAACTTTTTAACTCAAAACTTTTTAAGGGGGGCCTGGCCCCCCCCCCCACTATATTTTCAGGGGGGCCATTGGCCCCCCAGCCCCTACGTGTGTGGACTCATTTGCAAATTATATGAAAAATTATGTAGCACAGTAGTCATAAAAGCCGGTATCATCCAAGAAATTTAATATTATTAAAACGTGGCGGCCACACCTTTTGTGAAATCGAATGTACATATATGTACACACAGATAGAGCATAAATTTACAGCACAAGGCTTACACATGGTTCAAAGTTATGCCACGTATCATGAAATTGGCTACTGAACTAGGAAGCTATGAGCAAGAGTGTTATCAAATTGAATCAGTCATACTTGCTTAGTAACTGCTTACCAAAGGCAGCTCAAAAAGAAGTGATAACGTTATTGCACCACAACCACATCCAATCTCAAGAAAATGAAGTTCCTCTTCCTCTGAATAGTGTCCCAAGATGATATCAACGAGCATCTGTGAAAAAATCTCCCAGTGTGTAGTTTAAATTTTCATTCTTCAAAAGGGTTGACACAATCCTCTGTAACAGTCTAAGTCGCAGGACACATTAACAAAAAACCGTTAGATGCAATGGTTTATGACTTTATGTGCAATTTACTGCATATGCAGGCAATTTGTGTTCCTGTAGACTACATTTATTCACTTAACATTTATTTCCATACACAAAGCACAGTTTGAGGGTTGATAAACAGAACTTTTTGAAAAATACAATAGTTAAGTGAGACACAAATGAAAAATGGGGCAAATATTGAGGAATATTGAACAAAGTCTTGCGCAGTAATGCCTTATTAAAACAAAAACTTGACAACTAGCAACAGATCACACAGCAAAAATAAAACGGGCCAATTCAGATGAAGGGCACAAAACAAAAACAAACCAATAAACAGAGATGTACAGAAAAATAGAAGTACAGTCTCTTTGGAAGAGCTGTAAAGAGTTTATTTCCAAGGGCTTATATTTCAAGAAGTTACAGAGTACTTAGGGCTTCACTTTATATTAGCTGCTTCACCATTGGAATCTCGGTGGACTCCTGACAACAGACAGAGCATACTGTCTGTAACGTTGAGTACCCTCCAATTCTTTCCAAAACCACACACATAAGAGATAGTTTGTAAAACTTCAAATAAAAAACTTTAAATGTCATCATAATACCTCTTACCTCGGTTTCTGGTCTCGGTATGAAAACTGGTGGTCTGACTAACAGCGTTAAGTCATGGAAGTCCCAGTCACCAACGATGTACTGTACAGGAATCCTGCAAAAAACAATGATTTATACCACACTTAAAATTTAACCTGTTGTAATAGAGAAGCATGTTACATTTTAGGTGGGGGAAGCATTTATCTCATCAAACTTACCTTTGCATTCTCTTAGTGCAAAGTCTGTTTATAAGATCAAGCTCAGCTTGTGTTAGTGGTTTTGCAAGGCGTGAACTGGTCAACTCATGCAACTGTTGGTGAATAAAATACACGTACATGTACAAAGATGCATCTCAACAGAATAATGAACAAATTCACATGGAAATGTTGAGCAGCATGTGAAGGCTGAATTGTCTGACCCCCCCTACATCTTTTCACAGGTGAGTGGTGAGAAGAAAAATACTGCCATACAGCACCATGTATGGCAAGCTCCCCTTAAAACATAGAAAAACGCTTAGCCACATACCATCTGTTCTTTCAACTGTATAGAGCTGTACCAAATCAAGTTATGATAATAATTTGATTACTGTACAATTACAATTTTGGCTTACCTGTTTATATCCAAGTGCATGAGCCACAATAAATTTGGCAGAAATCTCTGCCTCAGGAACACCCCCCTCAGAAAATGATGCACTCCACCAACAGACTGCAGCTTGTGGAGAGCAACATTCAGATAAGGTCGGTCCACCTTGCTCAGGGTTGGTTCCTGGTATCTTGCTACTTTGGGTCGAGCATTCCTCTTCGTCATTTTGCAAAGTCACAGATGTTGAAAATGTTTGTGTAATACATGTAGGTGTCCTAATGTACCTCTTGACATTTTGATGGATTTTTTTCAGTTCATAAATTTTATTCTGAGAATATAATGGTAGACGAACTTTGGAATGCAAGATCTCTGTAGACGAATCATTTCCTTGACAAGAAATTCCATGCATCCACCTCCAACATCCTTTTATGTTAAAATGTAGCCTCTTTGAACATCTGGTTACTGGTAGAGAATCAATGTACACAATTGTTCTTTTACAGTTGGAAATGACAGAATTCAGTGTGAACAACTTCAATGGGCCTATCATGATCTCAACTTTTTTCTTTGAAAGGAAATAATGAACTTTTTCCTGCAATGGTTTTGACTGTTCTCCAAAAGTATGTGTATACACCTGTACACTTCGTGCAATTTGCTTTGTGAACTTCTTTCATCCAGTGAAGACAATACCTGAAAGAAACAAAGCACATTTTCAAAATAATTAATCTGTTACCAAGAAATCTATATTTTGTCATTTTATCTTGTTCCATTTGTGTCATTTTTTTAATGTAAGAAGACATTCTTGTGCCCTGTTTGCTACATTAGCAATAAAATATTACAGACAAACTGGGCCATTTCCAATTTTCTGTATAGGCCTACATGTATGCTTACTTCAAAGTGTTTTTAAGGATGGCAATTCCCAGTACTCCTCATACTCCAAGTTAAATTTGGCATTGTACTCATTTGTGCCCAAAAAACTTGCTTCAGTCACTCAGTGATGTGGCATAACATTGTATGTATCGACATATGAGCCTCAGCTCGGAAAGCCCAGCTCTGTTTCAGATACTGAAGCCTTGCTTGGCAGCTTGGGACTCGTGACCCTGGGAAAGGCAAACAGTGGCATAATTACTGGGGGGGGGGCACTGGGGAGTTGGGAAAGAGCCCCCAAATGTAGTAGTTGTACATCATGTACTTGCACTAGCACAGTAGAAGGATCAGAAAATGGTAACGTCCTAAAAAGTTGATTAGAATTTATGCCTACTTATAGAAAACTGTAGGGTTTGCGCACAGGGTGTGAAGTGATGGAACTAGGCCTATAATATAGTACTGCGAACCTTGAACCAGAACAGAAGACTACGCTGAGCAGCAGTAGCCGGCCTGAAAAACAACTAGCAGCCAACCGTCTAAGGACTGAATACGTCCTTACATGTCGGTATTAGACTTCAGCCTGAAGCTTACCACACGTGCGATTGATATCGCGATCGCGCGAGCACGAGGACCAAGGATAGGACGGAATACAATCCGACAATGCAATAATAATTGACGAGATCTTTCGCGTAACGCGTACCATGTACCAGCATGTGCCAGAAGCGCCACCTTGCGACGCGTACAGCCGAGGTATCGCATGAATAGCAGCAGGACATGCGTGGAGGTCCCCCCCCCCGTTATGTGGGTACAGTCCACTAATTCAAGCCCCCATAGAAAACTGTGTAAAATCAGCACTCTTCATGGCCAAATAACATGCACGCCAACATCCCTGACATTTCTGATACACAAATGAAATTCTTGTCTGGTCACTAATCTTTCAATTTCTTTTCATTTTTGGTGGGTTAACCAATTACATTTTTAATTATTTCCATAAATGCCCACAAAGCAAAATTACCCCCCCCCCCAAAAAAGTGATTTTTCCAAAGTCTGATTGCAGCCATTTTTCAAGTGGCAACCCTCAACTTTTTGGGACACTTAGGACTATTTTTCAACGTAGTTTTTAGCCATTCTACTCTCATATGAAAGCTCAAAGACCCAGGGAGTTGATCCTGGCAAGGATTTACATAATCGCACCATTTTGGGGGCCAAACAATCTCCTTTTTCAAAAGATACGGGGAGGGGCAATTTCATGCTAACGAGCTGGCAAGAAACTCTCACTTGAATTAGTGGTCTGCAAACTTATAGTTCACCGCGGTGGGCTCTGTCGACTAGTCGAAGTCGGACAGACGGACCCTTTTCTCTTTCCATCTAGGCCTAATGGTGGCGCTCTTGCAATAAACCTGACCCCGTACACATCATGTCACAGATAACATGCAGACCGCGAACTGTACTTAGGCCCTACATGACCTAGACTGTCTGTATCGAAAATAATTTTCCGACCATCGATCGTTCGATTGTGAGGCCTGCGAGCTGCGTACACATACATGAATTGGAGGATGCAGAGATATAGCTCTGTAGAAAGTAAGTTATAGCAGTGTCATATTTCTTGCAGGTATTTTGCTATTAAAACTTAAATGAAATTTGGTTTTGCTATAGCCGTTCCCGGCTATTTTTCCTTTGTTTTGTATCCCCGCTTGACCGTTTTTCGACGATGTAAGGGGTTTTCTTCAAACTCATATGCATTTTCAGCATTGTTATTATGATCCAATAATACCCTTGGCCTAGGCCCACCTGCTCCACTTTTGGGATGGGGAAGCTGGAGTGCCTTTTTATCACCTCCTTTCCCCTTGGGTCTTCATGGTTCCTGCTATCCTCTCCTCCCCTCCTTTTCTAAATCATCAAAACCATCCTCTTGATAAACAAGCAATTAGTTTTATCATCGTAATGAATAATTCAGTTTTGGCAAAATGGAAACAATCCGCTTGAACATGAAAAGAAGTTCATTAACTGAAAGAAATATTTCAATTTACAACTTTGCCACTTCTGAGACTTTTCTCAATTTTGAATCTTCAAGTCGACCAAGAACATACTGGGAAAAAAATAAAAATTACTCTTCTGTTGGGGACTGAAAGCATGGCGAACCATGGCATGGGCAAAAAACAGTGTCTTTCAGTCGTAGTCGTGTGACATTACAACAGTACTTGAGGTGAACCCAATGTGAACAGCTTTCGAACATGCACTGAGCCCATGAGGTGAAATAGATTGAATCCTTAAGTTCAATAGGGCGGTATCAGTGACACACACAGCATTTCTCATCCTCGTTAATTTCCTCATCAGAAGATACATCACGACCAGATGTGATTGTTCAGCTTGGTCCAGGCTCACAGTGTTGTGATGCAGCCATGGCAGCAGATTCTGCTTTCTTTGCCCATTTGGTCCGGTTATATTTCTTCTTTCTGGTTGATGTCTTCTTCTGTGACGTTTCAACAAACTGTACAATCTTCTTCCTTACTGCTTCTTCAGTTATGGCCTTTCCTGATGTCACTGAAGAGACACATCTCCTCTTTCTTGGTACTTTCTCTCGCTGGCCTATGATCTGTTCTCTTTTTTTGAAGAGATCACAGGAGTCTGAGTGAGGGAAGCTGCCACTGCCGTCACCTTGTGGACCAACTGGTTGGGGTTCAGACAAATCTGTCAGCTCACTCGCTATCACTCGTTATCTTCTTTACTTATTTGGCTGGTTCGTAGTTTCTGACATCAATTATTTCATAGTTGCGAAGATAGATGCCAGTTTTTTTGAACGAGCTTCGTAAGTTGTCAGGGTATAGGGCCTTGGAGTATGCTCTGCAAGCAAGTTCACAGATGGAGTATCTGTCAATGCCTGTTGTAGAGTGGGCACACATGTGTTGGTGGCAAATTGAATTGTAGATTTTCTCAAATGGCCTGAAGCATCCAACATCCATTGACTGCAGGACGTGACTCGTATGTGCTGATTGTAAGACAAACAACAAGACATTGTGTTCTCTTGCCCAGTCAATCAATGGCAGGGAGATGTGGGAAGAATGTCCATCATAGAGGACAAGGATGGGCTCATCCTCTCTGCCATCTGTGACATACATGTACTTCAAAAAATGTGATTAAATGCAGTCCATGAAAATTTCAGAGTTGGACCAGCCACTGTCACTTACAGTTCCACTGGCACCCGGAGTGCAGCCTTGAAGAAACTCTTGTCTCATCCTCTGTCCTGGAAATACGAAATATGGTGGAAGTTGCTGTCCAATGGCATTCCCGCGACCAATGATTGTCACAGTAGAACCCTTGCCTGTAGTCAGTGGTAGTGACAGCAACTGTGCTCTTGGACGCACTGACGATACGTGGTGGAGAATGATTCTGCCTCAGTCCCTTTTCATCAATATTGTACATTCTCTCAGGGGCATCTTTTAGCTTGAACATGGTCATTATTCAGTCAAGCTCAGTGAAATATGCCTTGACAACTTCCTCAGATGTAGCTTTTGCCCTATATATGTCCAAGCTTCTTGGTTTTTTACATGAAGCTCCGGCCATCTTTCCATAAAATTTCTGAACCATCTGAGGGTTAATTGATGTCCTGCTTGCCGTTTGTGAGGGTTAATGGATGTCCTGCTTGCCGTTTGTGGAGACTGACTGCATACAAGGTAGCTAAGTCGACAATTTCAGCCCTTCTGTACCCATAACCCATTACGGCCATCTTCTTGACATGTTCCACAAATTTTGCCTCTTCCTCAAGGGTAAACAAGGGAGCTGGTCCCGACTTGGTAGTTTCTAGGTCAACTTGTCCTTTGACTCGATCCTTCAATGTTGTCACGGGAATGCCACATCTTTTTGCAGCAGCCTCAACAGACCTATTCTCATCAATAACCAAATGGAATGCTTTGGTTAAGGCTGACAGAGAGTAGTTCCTGTTGGTGATTGGCCTGGGTTGTTTCACCAGACTCATACACATATTCTGTAGAACAAAAAAAGGAAATAACAATACATTATAAATTTACAAAAAAATTAATAGGCCAAGTTGCATTTTAGACGTACAATGTATATACATTCACTGTTATGAAATTCACACAAAATGATTGTATTATTTTTTGTATTTAAACGAAATGAAGTCTATCTGACCATGTTACTTTAGGTCTTTTAAATAATAATAAATAATAAAATAAAAGCACAACGCTCCTTAGAAGCCTCCGTATTTTTTACCCAGACCGCAATGCTACAAGCCGCGTGATGTTTTTTTATTCTGCATATCATGGGCTTTGTTATGGCACACACAGAAACTGTTTTGGAGCAATAATTAAAAAAACACAAGTTAAGAAACGCCTCACGATTTTGTATCTTTAAAATAGGCCCCAAAAGAACAACTTTTTGAATCGTGCAAGTTTAACCTACCGGAAGAGCCTTAACTTTCCACATTTTCGGTGATGGACACGGAGCAGCAAACAACCAGGAAATTCCAAGTTTGAGTTCGTGACTACAGAGTTGTTTACATCGCGTGCTGTGACGTAGAAGGTCCAGCGTCAAAAACGTGTACCGTCGAAAACTGGGCCCTCTACGATACACAGATTTTTGCAGACTTGTGTGTCACTCACCAATGCTAGTAGTACTAGTACTGTAGTAGTACAGTAAGGGCCTAAATGCCTTTTAATTAGCCTTGGGCCTTATAGGCCCTAGTGCTCCAGTGTGGATGTGGGGAGAAAAATTTTTTTCTATATGGTCTAGAATGACCCTCAGTGCATAAGCCTTATTGCAAAAACTGCATTTGCACAATGGTAGAAAGGCATTTGTGGGAAGGCAAAAGGTTCAATGTTTAACCTTTTTCCTTTTCACAACGCCTTTCTACCATTATACAAAATTTTGCAATAAGGCTTATAATTGTGCATCAGCCATACTAGGCCCTCTGCAGCGTATGTACAGACAAGATGATTGGACAAAATCTCTTTGTTGGTACTATGAGGTCACTGCATCTTGTTTCTTGTCTTTGATCAGTGGTGGCTGTGATAATCGCACTCTGAAGCACTCACAGAGGAATGATAGTCAGACGTGGTTAATGGGGAAAAATTTAAACTATTGCATTGGATTTTTGACCACACCTTTTTCTTGTTCATACATGTACATGTACATGTAGACAGGCCTACTGAAATACCCCCTTTTCAGTACAAATACGTGTACATATATCTCCATCCTTATACAAAAAAAATGTACATGTACTTGGCCTTGGGATCTAGAGAATGGGTGGGTTTTTCCGCAGTTGTACCTGAACTCATACCCTTCTACTACTGGTAGGGCCTGTGTGAAGTAGACCTGTATGTATGTTGGCATGAACTTCAGGCATTCAACTTTTCCTTGGATCAGCTGCATTCTTTGTTCGTTCTTCCCATGTAGCTGTGACTTGGGGAGGGGGGTAGCTGCACCTTGTCCCTATCCCTATCATTCACGCAGTCTAGTTATAACATTTTGATGTCTATAAACCTTTTTCAGAAGCTATGCATTTAAGAGGAGTCAGCACCTGAATGTCTGTGATGACTATGGTCAAGTTTATACAGGGCTCTGCAGGGATGGGTCCTCAGTTGTTATGGAGATTTGCAGCATTTACTGCAGTTTTAGGACTTGTGTGGACTCAAACGACGCCATCAGCCTTCATCACAGATTGGAAGCCTGGTTCACCGACCAAGTCAATTCAAATGGCAACACCCATGTCATCGAATCTGACTACTATAATGTCCGTAGTGGTGGAGACAAATTCTACAGAGACAGGTGAAATGAAAAATGAGACATTAAGCACAACTAAGTCCTGGAATACTTCTTCACTGACAACCTTGCTCACAGCAGCAACAACTGAACCATCCCTGACAACGGTTACCATGGCAATGACTGCAGTAACCACTCCCAGAGAGCAGACAACACTTAAAATGACACCAATGCTATCCAAGCAGACAACTACACGTACAAAGCACCAGGATTCAGTTCCCATGGCAGCAACTCAAAGGAGTGACCTTGTGACCTCAACAGGCAAAATGGTTCCAGCTGCAGGTGGTAATTTGGCTCTGTACCTTCTCCTGCCCCTGATCATTTTTGCAGGAGTTGCTTTACTGGTTATGATTGTCTCATATCTGAGGAAAAGAATCAGGTCAGTGGGCATGTTCAGTTTGCTCAAAGTGGCATAGCCAATGGAGAAGGGTTGGTTATACCCCTTGAGACATGATGTGAGTTTTTCAACAGGAATTGAAAATGCCAGCATCTTAAAAAATGGTACTAGCATTTTTCTTTTGAAGGGAGTGGATAACAGAAGACCAGTTGGCACGGAACACTGTTCCACGCTTCACTACTCTCTTCATGTTTTTCACTTTGTTCTTCAGATTCCTAGAATGAAACCTTTTATTACGCAGCTACACCAGTAGTGTAGCCTTTCAAAACCTTTTTATCTATTACAAGAAAGTTAAATTTGGTTGCCAGTTGCCAACTATCTTAAGAAAGTTTGTCTTGGACTCAAGAGCATGATTTTGTAACCATTGTTCATACATGTACCAATGCATTTATGTTGCAGTGTTGTAGGCAAGACCACTTAAGACATTCACAAGACCAGCACCTCCAGTCTGACTTCACAAGCTCTTCAAGTGAATTGCAACAAACGCATTCCTCTGTCATTTTTCACATTGTTACTTGTCACTGTTCTTGTGCATGGTCTTGTGTCTGGTCTTGTGA